GGCACGCGTCTCGCGGGGAGTCAAAGGTCGCTGGGGTCTGCACCAGTAACATAAACCTATTCCTATCTTAGCACGATGGACATACATGCTTTCCTCTGCAACAGTAAAAACATCCACGTAGACCATAGGTAAGGAGTTGTCTCCATTTTTCCTTGTGACAAACATCAACAACCATCAACTACTAAGGAAAATTAACCAAAGGAAAAAAATGAAGGAAAAAACGATTCGACCCTTATTTGCGTAAAGGGCCAAAATTTCTATAGTAATATATAAATGGAAGTTCAGATCCTGGCATATAGCCCTAATTCGACTGAGGCGGATGCTTTGACCTTGTCCTTTATTTTTTAAATTACAGCCAGCTGAATTATAGCCAGCTATACTAACTAAATCTAGTAATCTCCCACTCATTATCATCCGCATTCCGTTCATAGAAATACTACTTACTACCCCTTGAATCTATTACGCGTGTATGGTTATAAAGAACTAATGCAGGGTTCCGATTCGTAATTTATTTGAAAGTATGTACTTTAAAATCAACATTTTGGCAAAAAATGGAAGAAATCTGGCTTAAGGCTTAAGGACCCCAAAATTCTCAAAATTTTCGCCTGCTGCGCTAAAAATGGAAGAGTTTTTGGCGCCTTTTTTTTGAAATGCACAAAATGCTCAGTGGAAACAAGAAATTATTAGAAAAGATTCATTTAGGAGGGAAGTACTTTATTTGAAAGTACGAATAAACATTTTCTAATTTAATTTGGAGTGTACTTTATATTTGGAAATTTTGTCCCTATGTACTTTAAAATCGAGATTTTTGTACTTTTGATTAAAATTTTGTCGATCGGAACCCTGAACTAATGTCTTGATTATTGAGGAAATCCTCAAGGCGATGGAACGTTTAAAAGTAGAATGTATTTTTCTTGATAATGGACTTTTAGCAATGTAATAATTCCATTGTTTTTGATAACGGTGATGGACAAGATGAAGTCATTAAAAAATATCAAGATATACCTTGAGTTGAAGTAGGGGCTATAATAAACATTAAATATCTGGTCGAATTGATGCTGAGTATGAAAATAATTATAGCGGAAATAATGAGTGGGGGATTATAGGAAAACACTCTAACAATGCAGTCTTTAAACTTTTAGTTGATGAACATGTAATAGTGAAGTTTTTCAATGGAGACGAAGAGAAATTCAGTTGTGAGTTATTTTCATAGTTAAATTTTATTATACATCAGTGGAAAATTTGGCCGTATCTGAAATTAATGCCGCCTTCCTATTTTTTCCTTATTCCTGAAATGGTTAATATTATATTTTTCCCTCTATTTTTGATTTGTGCCTTAAGACTAAACGCAAAAGGATTATTTTTCTTTACTTTTTTTCTGCCCGTATTTTGACTGACCGATGTGTGAGCGTTTTCTGTCTGTCTGTGACCGTCCGTGTTTTGTCTGTCTGTGACCTTGTCTGTCCGAGTTCGTTTCGTCCGTGTCGTGTCTGACGAACTCAGACAGACAAGACACGGAAGAACTCGGACAGACAGAAAACGCTCACACATCGGTCAGTCAAAATACGGGCAGAAAAATAAGTAAATGCTCTCAAAGTTAAAGAAAAATAATCCTTTTGCGTTTATAGTCTTAAGGCACAAATCAAAAATAGAGGGAAAAATATGAGAAAATTAACCATTTTTAAGAATAAGGAAAAAATGGGAAGGCGGCATTAATTTCAGATACGGCCGAAAATTTTCCTAGCACAAAAATTATTAAAAGTAAATTATTACTTCAGTTCATCTTACAAAGAACGGCTTAAACTTTTATGATAAACAACATCAGAAAAGTTATTTTATCAGGAAAATCAGCATTGGTGCTCCATTAAACCTGGTGCCTAATCATATAATTGAAGCACATCACAGAATGGGCCCTATGGAATATTTGACAACAGGCGGAGTGAATACTAGAGCTATGAGTCTCCATGTAAGTTTAATAACATTTATTTTTTGTTTTTTGTTGGGATGGTATATTTAAAATTTTTATCAATTTTGGAGAGAGGAGAGAGGGAGTTTTAGAGACAGTGTAAAGAGTGTGAGAGCTGCGAATATGCTCTTTATAAAATTCTGTCGAATAAGCATAGATTTTATGCCCGGTTTGCTGCAAGTAACAAATTTTTTCCAAAGCCATAAGATTGATTCTAATTTTACAAGGTGCAAACACGTCCACTCAGTTTATACCAGCTCATCAATATTGCTTTCAAAGATATTGCTGTTGGCCTCCCTGTTTCTGAATACTTCTCGAGCCTTCATTTTGCCCATAGATTCATAAAAGCTATTGCTGATGAAAAATATAAAACTGCGTTGTCTGATATAAACACTTGGCCCGAGGAGTTTAAAATCATTAACGATAACCAGAATAGCAACAACTACCAAGAAATGTAAGTTATTTTAAATATTTACTTGATATAAAAATTTCTCTTCGATCCCTGCGAGTTGTTATATCTAGACAATTGTATTAATAAAAATTTAATTTTTTAGCGATGACACTCTATACAACAACATTGACTATACTACTCCAGTTACTTTTGAGCCTGAAAACGTCTAAATTTGTAACTGATATGAAGAAGTCAGGCTTAATTGGCTTAATAGGCCTAGCGCCGCCTGGATAGTAAAACCAATCTTGAGCTAGGTGAATGTAAGAAGTCTGGTTATATTTAATGAATCTGAACAGTTATGAGGCGGAAAACTTGATTTATATCCCTATTAAGCCAATTATATCCCTATTAAGCCAATTAAGCCTGACTATATTTTTATGTTCTTCCTTTTATATTCCATTTTTCTTTTATCTATAGTAGGATCTCACTTGGTTATACCCATTTATTTATTAAATTGAGTTGTGTATATCAGGGGTCTAGACGTTCTGATTTTCAGTTCTCAGTAATTGAAAAATTTGAAATTCGATTTTTTAGCTATTCAGCTAGATCGCTGATATAAAGAGAGAGAAAGAGAAAAATATAAGTGAGAAGTACACAGAATTTGGGTATGCTAAAGTGAGATTCAACAACTCGTCTGGGGTTTTTTTGTTCCAGTTGAGGCTTTTTTAGCCAAACTGGAACTTTTTTTCTCCCCAGGCACCTATCCTTTCCAATTTTTCGTAATTTTAACTATTTTTTAAAAACATTTTTTCTATTTTAAAACATTATTTATTTTTAGATTATAACATTTTATTATTTTTCATCTTGATAAAATTTTTAAAAATCGCTTCAATATAGTTTTCATAAGGTTATGTTGATATGTAATAAGTCTGTGATTATTAAGCCTGTATAATTAAACCTGTAAGGGAAATTATATGGCTTTATTAAGAAACGGGCCTTTTAAATCTCACTATCTCTAAATCCACTTATATCCAACATAATTATCTAATCTCCGAATCCTCTTTAATATCAATAAGTTAATGATATACCACTCAACCACGATACATATTTTGGTAATAGTGTCGTTTCCAGGCCCCATTTTTTCTCCCCAATTTTTTACCCTATGTTTGTACGGAATGGTCAAATTTTCCCCTTTCTTTCATCAAATTTGCCTTTCCATATTTTGCCTAAAAACAACCAAAAAGATTAATTTGTGATATTTAAAAAAGTATTAGAGTAATGAGAAGAATCATTTTCCCAATTAATAAAAATGAAAGACTGTTGTTGTGTGACGAAAATATAAAAGAGGCAGACAACCATCAAAGAAAGATGTATGGATGATTGGGGGCGTTGAGAGAAACACCAAGAGAAACACCAAGCTTTTTGATTGTTTTTAGGCAAAATATGGAAAGGCAAATTTGATGAAAGAAAGGGGAAAATTTGACCATTCCGTACAAACATAGGGTAAAAAATTGGGAGGAAAAAATGGGGACTGGAAACGACACTATTACCCATATTTTTAAATAATGCCTTATTGACGAAGGTTCATTGGTTCATTGCAAAATTAGGGAACCAAGAAAACAAAAATTCTAAAATCATATATAAGACTATTTTTTAATTCATTAAAAATTTAATTAATTCTTTAAAATAAATAAAATTTATTTTTGACAAAAAATATTAAACAAAAAATTTTCTTTAACGAGGATCAATGATTAAATAAAATAAAAAGATATCAATCAAAAAAAGTTTGTGAAGACGTGAGAAAATATTTTTTGATTTTCTTAGTAACAAAAAATTTTTAGGAGAAAATTTAATTTTAATAAATAATTTTAAAAATAAGAGGAAAATGTGAAACAAAAACACACCAAGAAAATAAATCATAAAAACATAGAAACATGGAAAAATGTTTGTAAAACACATTAATGTTAATACAAATTATATTAATAAATTGTATTTCCGGAAACATGTTATATTAAAATAAACTTTCCGGAAGCCCAAATATAAGTTGAAAAAAAATCCGGAAAATAAACTTAACGGAAAATGAAATATGAGGAGTGTCATACCGAAAAAGAAATAGTATTATATTTCTCTCGTTTCTCTTCTCTTATTTTGACCCCATATATTATTCTCTCCTCCCCTTATAATGTAAACCCCACATTCCCCATTTTTATGTTCATTAGTTTTGTTGTTTCATTTTATAGTAAAGAAAAAGTAAAAGGAGTTTATTTGTGTGTTTGGTGAAATTAAGTAAAAAGGGTAAGGACATAACCCTTTTAAGTCCTACATGGCGCTCCTGAATTAGAGAGTAGTCCAAAGATTGATTTTATTTGGTTATTTTTTGTTTGAATTTATTTATTTTATTATTGATCTTCGTTGGCCCCCGGTGGACCAGGAATTTATTTTATTGCAACAACAACAACAAATATTTATTTTTTTGAAAAGTTATTCCCCGGTGGAATAGTTTTCGTTTGACAACTTTTTTTGAGATTTTTTCTAAAAAAAATCTTATTCAGTTTTCCCCCGGTGGGTTGATTGAATTCTCTTCGTATCAAATTTTAGCCCCGGTGGATAAAATTTGAATTTGGTTTGGCTCAGCAAAAAAAAATGAAATCTTCGCCTCAACAAAACAAGAATCAATATTTTCATCATCAACCTTACTCAGCCTATCTTCCTTTAATGAATTTTCCCACGAACAACCATCAACTAGGGCAAATATACATTCAAAATTATGGCGTCCCAAATCTCTTCTTTGGTTGCCCTTCTACATTTTCCCAGCAAATGATGTACCCCAACCAATTTAATCCATCACAATCAGTTCAGCCTAATTACCAAAATGCTAATTTAATTTCTGAAGATACGACACAGCTAACATAGAAAAGCTTTTGCTCGGCACAATACCTGATCTAGACGGTACTGAAGAAAGCTTCGGGATTAAAAAGTTTTTCAAGAAATTCGATGCACATCTAGAAGATTGGCCAGAGAAAAAGAAAATTTTTGCCCTAAAATCCAAGTTGTATGGTAAGGCAAAAAGTTACTTCGTTCTTGCAATTAAGGCCAAACTCTACAATTACAAATCGATTAAAAATTTCATCCTTTGTCAACTCATCCCCTCCGAGTACAAAGTCGAAGAACCTATCGATCCAATTAAAAAGAAAACCAACTCAAAATTTGAGCACTCGAAAAAGAATTGTGAAGAAAAAGAAAAACTTTTACCTCAACCTAATAGTCAAAATGTTAAATCACTCAACAGAATTAGCATTCCTTTTGAAAAAGTCTCATACCCTTCTGAAATTCTGGAATTCTTTGAAGGGTCAACCAAAAAGGAACCAGAAGACAGGAAAGAGGTTAAGCCTTTTGAGAAAGCTGAAAAATTGGAAAACCATGTTTCGACTAAGTTCAATGGCAAAAAGCCAATCAAAACAGGAATCACAAAAAAGACTTTAGTATTGAATCTTGAGGAAACTAATTTTGAATTCCCTTTGAATTTATTTGAAGAAAAGAAAGAATTTAAATTGGTTGAAAAATTGAAAAATTCTGTCCCAACGAATCTAGCCAAAAAGGAAATCAAGAAAGAAATTAGGGAAAAAGATCTGGTATTGGTTTTTGAAAATGACACAGATCTTGATCTCCCAATGAATTTATTCGAAGAAGAGGAAGAAAATAAATTTAAGGAGTCTGAAAAAGAACAGGTTGAGGCTGAAACTATTGAGGAAATTGTATGTGAAAATATGGTTCAAATTGAGAAGGAAGATGAACCTGTTGAGGAAGATTTTAAGGAATTGCGCAAGGAGAAAGCGAATGAGTTAGGTCTCATGAAGATTAACCTTGATTTCTGCAATCAAGAAGATTCTTTGGAAATTGAGAAGAAAAATTTTGAGAATTCTGGAAAAAATTTAGACCCCATTATTGAGGAAAATTTTAAGGAACCAAGAAAGGAGAAAGCAAATGAATTGAGCAGAATGAAAATTGATTATGAGTTAATTGACCAAATTGTTTTGGAAATTAGAAGTGAAGATTTTAAGAATTTTGGAAAGGAATCAGCTTTAATGAAAGAAATTATTGGAAAGGAAAGTTTGACTGGAGTTGGAAATTTAATTGTTTCGTCGGATCAAAAATTTAAAGTTTTGAATCTAACCAAGACGAGGAAAAGAAAAATGTTATCCTTGGTGAAAGAAAAGAAAATTTTGAAGAAATGTATTAAGAAAAATGGTTATTTTGAGAGAATTTCTAAGGTAAATGGGATGAAACAATTGGAGGAATATTCTTTTTCTGAGAAGAATTCCGTTCTGAAAAAGATCAACTCAAAGATGAAGTTGCTCAAAATTTCTGTTTTGAAGAAAATTAATGCTAAAATGAAAAGAAAATTAAAGAGACAAGAAAAATTTGGTTGGAGAAAAAGAAAAATCAAGGGACGATTTTTTGAAGGAGTTCGGAGGCGCCTTGACTTGAAAGACCTGATCACGCTGATCAGAGCCTCGAACCAATATCCGACTTTTTCTAGAGAGAAACGACGACTTATGCAGACTTTTAAACCAAAAGAGGACTTGTATTTTGTCTCGGAGACAAAGCAAGTTATCCATACATCCCAAGTGGCAACGATTTCCATCTATTTGGCAAGGTTACCCATCAAAACAAGAAAATTTAAACCGGTCTCGGCGACCTGGGTTCTTGAACGAATTTCGAAAGGGAATTTCCTTTGGACTACACTCGCCACCCTAAGCCTATCGAAACAGCCTTGCGCAGCCGCATTTTGACAAAACCTGACGTCGAGGACGCCGTCATCTGAAGCGGGCGGGATGTCATACCGAAAAAGAAATAGTATTATATTTCTCTCGTTTCTCTTCTCTTATTTTGACCCCATATATTATTCTCTCCTCCCCTTATAATGTAAACCCCACATTCCCCATTTTTATGTTCATTAGTTTTGTTGTTTCATTTTATAGTAAAGAAAAAGTAAAAGGAGTTTATTTGTGTGTTTGGTGAAATTAAGTAAAAAGGGTAAGGACATAACCCTTTTAAGTCCTACAGGAGGAGAAGGATATACTGAAAAAAAGATATACGGTAAAGAAAAATAATTTTCCGGAAAACAATGAAACTGGAAATCCGGAAAACCGAAAAAAATATTTAAAAACAAAGGGAGAGAGAGACAAACAAGAGGTCAAAGCAGAAGAGGTTTATAATTAAAAACAAAATATATTGGCCAAGCTAAACAATGAGAGAAAATCAACTTATAGGCAAGTATAAAAAGACAATGAAGAATGCCCAAAAAATAATTGTAAAAAAGAAATAATTGAATTAAAGATGTTTAATCGAAATTATTGAGATTTACACCGAATTAAAAAATATATAAATTTTTAGGTACATATTTAATTAGATGAATTTAATTTTCCGGAAGTGTAATATTAAATGTTCCGGAAAAATATAAAATATTATTAAAGTTTACGGAAATATAAATAGAATATTAAAGTTTCGGAAATGTATTTAAATAATTTTTAATTTCCTACAATAATAGTAGTACTCTTTCCGGAAAGTAACTTTTCCGGAAATATATTTCAGAAGTAAAAAGAATTTATTTAACTTTCCGGAAATATAGAAAATAATAGTAAACTTTCCGGAACTATATAAAATCCGGAAAAATATATTTTATATTTTTCGGAAAATTGTATTATTCGATTAGTATCACACCTTCCGGAAAAAGAAAAAAATATTCCCATCCGGAAAAACATATTGCTGTATTCATTCAATTAAACTTTCCGGAAATTTATTGTCCGTAACTTGTCCGTAAATTTATTTCGGAAGAAGGAATTTAATTTTTCGGAAGTACAAAAAATAATAGTAACCTTTCCGGAACATATAATTTCCGGAAAATATATTATATAATTTTCCGGAAAATTGTATTCGTTCATTTAAACTTTCCGGAAGATTATTAGAATATCACACTATCCGAAAAAAAAATAAAAAAATATTCCAATCCGGAAAAACATATTTAAGTTTAAACATAAAACAACACAAAACAAATGTTTTTAAGAGTTTTTTTCATTGTTGTTGTTGTTGCAATAACAAAGCAGCAGCCATAAACATTTGTAATTGGTGTTGTAATTGCTAAAAATATTAGTTTAAATGGGAATTATTTAAATAATTTTTACCGTTGGATCGGTTGCTCCAAAACCTGAAGCACTTGTAGGTATGGGCATTTTGTTGCAACCATTATTATTAAATGAGGCAGGCACACCAAAGTTAGGAGTTAAGTTTAAGGAAGGTTGAGGAGGATGAAATGAGGGTGGAGGTGGAGAGAGTAAATTTCCATTGGAAAACTGAAAAAATTTTATTTTAGATCTTTTAGAATAGGAAAAATTGGCTCGTGTCCTTATCGCGTTTATACGTCCAATAACTAAGTTTAAACAACCAATCAACTTTTATGTGTCCAATAAATGCCGAAAAGTACTCGGTTCTTCATTTAAGTACCATGAAATCTATGTGAAAAGAAAGGTGTACTCACCAGAGTTATGGTAAGCATTAACTATCGGACCATAGCCTCTAACACGCAGAACCGGGTACTTACCGGCTGTTTGGACGCATAAAAGCTGTCTGGACGCATAAACTGGAAGAGAACCGAAAAATTCTCTAAAATATCAAAATTCTGAAAAAATTTTGAAGATTACGAAAAATCAGAAAATTCCAGAAATTCTGAAAAATTCTGAGAAAATCAGAAAATTCTATTAAAAATATTCACCTGTTGTTGCTGATATTGCTGTAGAAGTCCACTCATCAACAAAGGAAGATTCGGCAGTAAATGAGATGGGGCCGTAATAGGCGCATTTTGTTGTTGTGTTGATTGAGAGGATGTAGAGGGCAAAATAAATGGTAAATGAGGAAATTGGGCTTAAATTTAAAAATAAAAATATTTAAAAATATTTTTCAAAAATTTACCCAAAGGAAAAGCTGAAGAAGCAGACTTTTCTCCACCCCCAAAAGGTGCTGAAGAAACTTGTTGAGTTGTAGTGAAGAATGGGGGAGGATGTTTCTGAGATTGTTGAGGGGAAGTATTTGTTGTTGTTTTTGTTGGAATGGGGCATTTAATATTATTGGAATTATGACAAGTGTGTTGATGATGTTGTAACATGTGTTGTTGTTGGTGATGTTGGCGAGGCTTCCGACGGGGGCGATATTTGTAATTGGGGTGTTCTTGCCTGAAAATAAATATGTAAACTTGTCTTTTTCAAGTTTATTTTTGTAAGATTTTACAATTATAAATTCAAGTTTTTAGGTTAATTTCAGGTTTATTTTTCTGTAATTGTAATTTCAAGTTTATTTCGACACCTAATTTTACAATTGTAATTTTAAGTTTATTAATTTAGAATCAGAATCTAAGGTTTATTTTTTGCAATTGTAATCCCAAGTTTATTTTTTGCTATTGTAATTTAAGTTTTTTTTGATGATTTTACAATTGTAATTTCAATGTTTCTAAGTTTATGTAACTTAAAGTTTATTTTTGGATTTGTAATTACTAAGTTTGATTTTACAATTGAGATAATTGTTCTTAATGTATTTTCATAAGCTAATTTCAAGTTTATTTTTTTTAAGATTGTAATTGTTAAAAGGGTCTTCAATTTTAAAAATTTTTAATTTGTTTTTATTTTGTAATCTTAATATGTTTAGGCTTATTAACTAATTAAATTTTTACATGTGCAATTGACGCAACCGCTTAGCTTCATCAATAAAAGGGCGTTTGTCCACCTCACTTAAAAGCTTCCATTCATGTCCCAATTGTTTCGAGATTGCAGAATTGTGCATTTTTGGATTTTCTGTAGCAATGCGTTTCCTTTTGCCTCTAGACCAAACCATAAAAGCGCTAAAAAATTTTTTAATTTAAATTGTAAAAGTAGTTTATCCACTTCATCGGCCGTTTAACGTGTTCATCATCCATAGCGTCCATCATAAACATATGACAATTTACTCCATCGATGCAATCAACACAACCGTTGATTCTGCTATCTTCCAGCCGTCGGTCAAGTAAATTTAGACTGGAAAGAAAAAATTACAATTTCAGGTAAGGAAAAATTATTTAAATTATTACAATTGTTAAAAATAAACTTTAAATTGACTAAAAAGTTTATTTATTACAATTGTAATTTCAAAGCTTATTTAAAAGTTAATTTTATTCAAGTTTATTTTACCCGCAGTTTTTAAATTACAATTGTAATAAATAAACTTTATAGTCAATTTAAAGTTTATTTTTTACAATTGTAATAATTTAATTGTAAATAAACTTGAAATTGTAAAATTTATTAAAGCAAGTTTTTCAATTTTTATTTACAATTACAAATTCAAGTTTATTTAATTTTTACAATTGTAAAAAATAAACTTGAAATTAATTCATTAAAATTGTAATTTCCAAGTTTATTTAATCACAACTTTAAATTGGAATTGTAAAAAATTTTATTAGTTAAAGTTAATTTAAAGTTTATTTTTTACAATTGTAATAATTTAAATAAACTTGAATTTGTAATTGTAAAAAATTTACTAACTTATTTTAAATAAAAAAAGTTCACAATTTATTTAAAAATTAATTTAATTATTACAACTATAAAAATAAAAAAAGTTTCTTTTCCACACCTTTGACTATTGTTGTTGTAATTGTTGTTATCCACATAGGAGGACGCGCCGGATATTTGTGGACAAACACCATTTATGTATTTATTGTTTATTTTAGAGGCATCACTCACAGGCATTGTACTAGCTGCCGGGGAGGAGAATGAGGAAGAAAAGGAGCTGAAGCATTCAGGCTTCAAAAAAGCTGTTGTTGTAGTTTGACAACAAGTCATGCTCGATTTGCGTTCTTCTTCTTTTGTGGGGAAAATAATAGGGAAATTAAATGAATTAAAACAAATATATCATAAAATTGTGTGGTGAAATTTGTTAGCAAACAAATTTTAAAGGTTGAACAAAAATGGAAAATGAAATGGGGTTTCTCCCAAAGTTTGTTTAAGTATTATAAACAATAAAATAAAACTTGTGAAATTTTGTTTTATTTATTACAATTGTAATTTTCAAGTTTATTTTGATCAAGTTTATTTAGACGAGTTTAATTTTTAATTTGTAATTACAATTGTAATAATCAAGCTTATTTAGGCATATTTTTTAAATTCTAAAAAATAAACTTAAAAACCTATTCTATTCGCTTGTAGTTATCATTTGTGCATATATAATTACAATTGTAATTGTCAAGCTTAATATATAATTATTACAATTGAAATTGTCAAGCTTATTTTGTTCAGGTTTATTGTTTCTTATTATTACAATTGTAATATTTTTATTTTTTAAAGATATATTAAAACTTGAAATCGAGTTATTAACAATCTTAAATAAACTTGAAACTTCAAGGTTATTTGCTATTTACAATTTACCGTATTTTCTCGATTAATTCCCCTGGGGAATTATTTTAAAAACACTTAATTGGCATGGGGAATTATTGGAGGGAGGGAAATTTAATTTTTAATTTGATTTTTAATTTAGAATTACAATTGTAGAGGAATTAATCGAGAAAATACGGTATGTTATTTCAGTCTTCGTTTATTTACGCAATTATTGCAATTTATTATTTTTATTATTCCTCCATAATTAATTACAATTGTAATCTTCAAGTTTATTTTACCAAATTAAATTATGTACCTTCTTCAGTCGCATCCGTTTCAATTTCTCTCTTTTCATAATCCTTCCTTCTTTCCCCTTCCTCACTTAGTTGCCCAACAACTTCTTCCTCATCCGCTTGCTCCTCCTTCTTCACAATAATATTTTCATTAATTTTTTCATCAGAATTTCCCCCATTTTCCTCCTTTTTCGAAGCTTCCATTAATTCTCCTGTTAATTCTTTCCCCCCATCTTCTCCATTTTTCATTGGCTGTTGAAGCAGCAACATTGTAGCAGCCGACATTTGTTGTTGCTGTTGAATGAGAGAAGCTATATTGAGGGTAGATGTTCCCTTCGAAGCTGATATGTTTATAATTCTATTAATATCGTGGATGTTTTGTTGTTTTTGTTGGACTGGGGAAGTGCTTTGGCTAGCCGGACAGGCTTGGAGGGCTGCTGAATTTAACTGATTTTGTTGTTGTTGTAACATTAAAAGTTGTTGAGGCGAAAATAACATTTATTTGTTTTCTAAAAATTGAGAACTAATTTTTCAAAAAATCAGATTTTAATTAGAAAATGAAGTTAAAAATGAATGGGATTTAAATTACAGTAAAAATAAATTTATTTTTGATAATTGTAAAAAATTGATAATTGTAAAAGTTTCTAATTTGACTTAAATTTAAACCAAGCTTGAAATTCAAGTTTAATATCATTTAAGAATTCTATTACAATTGTAATTCTCAAGTCTATTTATTATTTTGCGTTTGTGCCCTATTTTCTAAATTTATTTTTAAAGTATGTAATTCTTAAGCTTAATTTCAGTTATTGTGGTTTATTTACTATCTACATCTTCTATTACAATTGTAATTCTCAAGTTTATTTTGACAATTTGTAATTTCCGAGTTTAATTTTAGTGTTTTTATTCTTTAGGTTTATTTTTCACAATTGTAATTCTCAAGTTTATTTAAAATTTTTACAAATTGTGAATTTCCAAGTTTAATTTTAGTGTTTGTATTTTCTACATTTATTTTTCGCAATTGTAATTTTTCAAGTTTATTTTTATTAGTTGCAAATAGAAAATACAAATATTTGTTTGTATTTTGTATTAAAAATACAAGTTTCTAAAAATACAAATTTGCAAATTACCTTAATTCCTCCTCAACGCTTCTTATAATTTTTATTGCCAAGTCAAAGTTGTTAAAAAAATATTTTTTTTAATTGAATGTTTTTAATGTTTCCCCCTTTCTTCAGTCAAATTATTTATATAGCCACGTTTTTATTTGTCTTTATAATTTCCGAACCAAAATAAAAAAATAAGAGATTGAACCCTTTAAATAATTTTAAATGATGAAAGATTGCCTTTGTAAAAGTTGTTTTAATTTGTGATAATTTTGTTTAATAATTTGTGATAATTTGTGTTGTTTATTTTTTATTTTTTTTTGTTTTTGTCAAAATAAAGGGTATTTATTAATGCTGTTAACGTCAACAGTAAACAAAAGAGGAAAATAATTAAATTTATTTTTAAATAAAAAATATGCTGCTTTTGACAAACAAAAACAAAAGAAAATTTTGTTTGTTTTTTTTTAAATATTATTATTATTTTATTAATTATTATAATCTGAAAATGACTATGTAATTAAATTAAATAAAAGTTATTTGAAGAAAAAAAAAGTGTTACGTAAAAATATAAAAATAGAAGTGAATAGGGTGAAAGGTGAAAAAATAAGGTATTAAATAGGTGACCAATGAATTTGTTCAAAAATCAGAAAAAATTTCTAATTTTTGAAAAAAATTCTGAAATTTTCTGAAAGATCAGAATATTTTTTTCTGATTTTTGTAAACATGAAAAATATGAAAAACCTTCCAGAATTGATAACAAACTTAAATTACAATCAAGTCTTAAGTTTGTATTAGAAACATAATTTCAGGATTGTAAATATGAATTGTAAATGCTCTTTATTTACTTAAGATAAATTAAAATTAATATTTAGTTTGTCCTTAAATTATCTTTAAGTTACCCCAAAAACATGAGTTTTGTACTTATTATAAAACATGTTTTTAAGTTTAATCTTAAAAACTCTCTTTAAGCTTGCGTTTAAAACATGTTCAAATATGATTTGTTTTAACAACAAGTTTTAAGATTATGCTTAATCATGTTTTACTTATGCTTAAAAACATGTTTTTAAGTTAGTTCTTAAAAAAGTTCTTAAAACCATGTTCTTAATTTGTTTTAAAAACATGTTTTTAAGTTAACATTAGAAACATTACTACTAAAATTGTTTTAAGACAAGTTTTTAAGTTCATTCTTAAAAACATAATCTTAAGTTTGTTTTAGAACATTACTTTTAATTAATCAAAAGCATAACTTTTGCAGTAAACTTAAAAACACAATTTATACAAAAACTTGTGTTTTAGTGTCTTTATTTAAAAACCTAATTTATTTGTGTTTAATAACTTAAAGATTAATAACTTTGTTTTATTATTTACACATTGTTAAGTGTCATTTAATTATATTACGAAATAATTTTATTATACTACTAAAAATAAAACTTTAAAACATTATTTTGAATAATTAGAAAAGGGTTTTTGCAATAAATAAAAGATGTAAAAATACTATTTTTTAAATAAAAATGTTTTTAAACGCCCTTTATCTATTTTAGGTATTTTACTTAAATAAAAGAAGTTTTATGCATTATTTTGTATATCCCTTGCATAGGCACCAGGGCTGCACGCAATTCGAATTGCGAGTTGCGGATTGCGTAAATTGTGCGGGTTTTTGCAATTGCGAGTTGCGCAATTTTTTTCAATTGCGTGCATTCCTGATAGGCACACAATTTCCAGAGCTGGCCAAATCTCTTGATCTTTAGTCTTGACTCAAGACTTTTCTCTTGGGCTTTTTCTGTCTTTGCCTTAAAAAATTTTCGGTCTTGGACTACTCTACCAATTTCCATTAGTATTAGTTTTAGTATGAGCGAGTTGGAATAGATTCTAGAAAAAGGTCTTTCGACATGAACAAATGTTTCGAGAACCTGATTATGGAATATGATGAAAGGTAAACTAAATAATAAGTGATCGGACGATCACGAACATAGATTATAAAGAAATCCTAGATAGAAAGAGATGAAGTTTTAGAGATTTTCTTGTTAGCTGTTTCTGATCGTAAGGTGGGGCAGTCGAAAGCTGATCTACCCCAATAATTAATAAAGAATATAAAAATGTTAAAAATAATTTTTTAATGAAAATAAAAAATTTTCCCAAACGCCCTTTATTTTATTTTTTATTTTTAAATAAGTTTAAAAGCAACAAAGCTAAAAGAAAAAAACACTAGCAGGAATTCTAATAATATTTATGCCAACATAAGCATATTTTTATTTATTTTTTTTTTATTTTTACCTTCCTCTTAAAAAAACTTTATTTTTTATGTACTTGTCACACTCATTCACACTACAATCAAAGCCTTTTATTTTTTTAAATGGAGCGGCGGTAATCTTAAGTATATGTGTGTGGTGGCAAAATTGGTAGCAACAGTGGGTGGTGGGAAATGAATGCCGCCTAGGCGCTATTTATAAGTAAAATAAAAAGTTTTCTTTATTTACATGTTTTTTTTGCCAAAGACTTTTAGAACAACAAAAAAATAATAAAAATTGAATAAAATACAAGTGTAAAGGTATTTATAGATGATTCGCAAACTTAAGTTTATTTAAATAAACTTAAGTTGAAAAAAGTTTAATTATTAAATTAATTAAACTTAATTGTTTTCAAGTTTATTTATTAACCTAGAAAATAGAATTTATATAATCATTCCGGAAACATCAGAATTTACAATTGCGAAGTACTGGTCAAGTTGGTTTATTAATAAAAATTCAAGTTTAAACTTGAAAATAAACTTGGTCAAGTTTATTTAATATAATTCTAGTAGGTTTATAAAAATCAGAAATTGTAAATTCTATTTTCAGAAAATGAAAAATTCTGATTTCATAAAAATCAGAAATTGTGATTTTTATAAGTAGGTTTATAAAAATCAGAAATGTAAATTGTGTTTTTACAAGTCAAGTTTATTTATATAAATCTAAAATAAACTTGAGTTGTAAAATCAGAATTACAATTTCTGATTTTTAAACTAAAAAATAATATATAAATAAACTTAGTCAAGTTTATTTAATAAACTGGAAAAATCAGAATTTACAATTCTGGTAGAATTTAAAATCAGAGTTACAAATTCTGGTATTATATAAACTTGGCCTAATGTATAATAAAAACCTAGAATTGTAAATTCTGGTTTTTCCGGAAAGACAACGAGCGAGTTATAACTCGTATTAAATAACTCAAATAAATTAAAATACTTCAGAAAATTAAACGGAAGTGTAAATATATAAATTTAAAAAAGCCAAAATTCATCAAAAATTCAGGCTATTAAATTAATTATTAATTTCTTTGTTTAATGATTTAAATTAATACAATTTAATTAAAAATTAATTTTAATTAAAAATTAATAAAGGAAGTAATAATAAAAAATAATATAATTAAATTTATGAGCAAAAAAATAAGCCAAATTTGGAAAATAAATAAGACAAATTAAGAGATATTAAATATAGAAGGTTAAGTTATTTTAAATTCCAAGTCATATTTAGAATAATAATTAATTTATTTTTATAGTTTATGTATATTTAATAAAATCTGTTGTTTTTTAAATGCCCATGAAAATTAATATTTTTAAAAAATAAAGAAATAAGCCTAAGTGTAAATATAAGGCAATTACTAGAGATGTCCGAGACTCTTGGTCTTGGAACCAAGACTTTTCTTGGTTTTTTTTCGGTCTTGGTTTCGAGTCTTGGTCTTGGAAAAAATTTTGTCTTGGGTCTTGAGCTTGAGTCTTGGAAAAATTTTCGGTCTCGGACTTGTCTAACAATTACAACTGAAAATGAATTTCTATATTTTAGCTAAACTTATCCGGAAAGCAAAATTGCGATTGTATTTTAAATTATAACTAAAAGATAATAAGTACTATAAAAATATTCAGTAGCAAATAAATTGTAAATTCGGGTATATTCGAAAGGATTGTAATTTATTGGTAAATTTAAATTCTGACTTTTCAGGAAAATTAATAAATCAAGTTTATTTAATGAATTTGAAAAATCATAATTTACAATTCTGGTAGAATTTAAAAACAGAATTTACAAATTCTGGTATCATATAATAATTTTTAATTTGATAGGGAATAAAGAAAAAAAAGAAGTTCTGATTTTTTTTGTAAATTCTGTAGATTTAGGAAAAACAGGAAAAATATTTCCGGATAGTTGTAAATTCTAAAATTCCGGAAAATATAAATTCTAGCTTTTCCGGAAATTCTGTAAAAAAGTTATGGGACAATTGTAAATTCTGTATTTTTTCCTTGAAATTACAATATTTCCGGATAGTCTTAAATTCTGAAATTCCGGAAAATAATAAATTATTTTTTACTTCCGGAAACAACACATTTCTGGAAATTTTACAATTTGTAACTACATATTTTCAGTA